AGTAGTCGCTGAAAAAAGTATCAAATACAAGAGGCATAACTGTTGAATATTTATAATAAATTGAATAATTCATATGTATTATATTTTATTTATAGATATGTTTTATAAGACATTTTCAAAATATAATATATGATGCCATATTTTTACTTTACATGTCAGTTGAAATTAGTACAGGCCTATTGAAATTTGATAATAGCTACAGATTCCAACCTTAATATCTTTTAAAAGCGGATCCTATTACGCAAACATGTAATTGCGACCTAAAATAGCAGGTAATTAGGAAAAACACATTAGAAGAGAAAGATGGAAATAAAGCTGAAGGAGAAAAGGGCAGGAAAGAAGACCTCATCTGCAGATAAATTCATCTGAAATGACAGAAAGATTTGCTTAGCAAGCTAAGTAAAAGACAACGAGCTGTCACCATCAGTATTACTCTGCGAGGAGTGATACCTCAGCGGGATGTACACACTGTGTAGTGATCTGATGAAAATCTTAATGTTTCAGTTTATAGGTGTAACAAAAGGCTAACGGGTCGGGAGTCTGTAAGAGCCTCATCCGTATATGGTGTGTCCTTGTTATGAGACCACCTTATCTGCTGAAATGGGGGGACATCTACCATCTATCAGTGATGAAATCAAAGACGGGAAGGATACAGATAATTGAAATTCTACCCTCCCCCAAGGCCCATGAACAAAACTGCTGAGAGATCTCTATCATGTGCCAGTATCATCTGGGGTTCAAGCAAGGGCTGTCGGCCCAGACCAGAGGCTCACGAGAGCAGATCCAGGGTGAGTACAGGAGATGCTGCTGACAGCATACAAATTAGTCTAAGCCAAAATCAACAGTAAAGTGACCTCCAGGACTAAAAACTAAGAGAATGAAAAGTGATTCACATGCTATAGAAACAATGAGGCTTTCATTCAACATTATTGAATTGTATAATGGACTGGTGGAGCGGAGGACAGCTAACTAATGAGCAGTTTGCTGGAGACATAAACCATGATGAGCCCTTCAGATGCACCAAACTTAAAAAAAAAAAAAACCCAAACAAACTTGGAAGGCAGCCTTTTAGAAGAGCAAAGATTTTAAATCTAATTCTGGATTTGATTGCTTTCCACAGTAAACACTCACTGCACACTAGGTATTTTGCGAATAAGCAAAAATCGAATAAGTTTTGTCATTAGCCAACAGCTACAATAGAGAATGGATGTAAGAGTACAGCCCAAGAGTATGGATGTAAAATTGACAGCAAATTTAATTATATCCCCAACATATGATGTGATTTATAACTAAAGGAGAAAATATTATATCATAATAGATTATAATGTCCAATGCATATGGCTTTAGTTAACATTTAAAGGGGCTGTAAAAATTCTCATGTATTTTTATATTAATCACATTTTTATTGTCCATGCGTGAACAGCTTATACCAAAAATGTAAAACAATATATCCATATCGCTGAGATCAGATGCTTTCTATCTCCTGCTTTCGCACTGCTGTCATTTTTGTTGTGCGATTATTTTGTTATTGAGAGGAAAGGGCACATAACTTCTAAGTGAAGAAGAACCAAAATTAACTTCGCTGTGGGTATATCGGGGCCTTGAATCACGTTCACCATAAGCACGAGAAATACGTTGCTGGCTACAGTTCACGTAACGGCCACTGGTGCGCTAATGACAAGGCTTTCTGAATTCTACATATAGCCCCTTTAAAGGGATAATTCACCCAAAAAATCATTTACTCACCCTCAAGTTGTTCTACAACAAAACCACCTGCATGACCAAATTGTCTTTATAGTGCAACATTATATTTTAGGTAACATCATCAACATGTGAGCATTAACCTGATAAAGGAAATATATTGTTTACCTGCTTTCGCAGTCAAATAGCAGAGAAAGAACATCAAGCTGCCCCATGCACATACGAAATAATGCATAAAGGAGATTGGATATTCTTTGATAGAAAAAATTTGATTACCTAATGAGACATATGCTACAGCCATTACCTTCAATTCCCTGAACTCCTCTGATATCACATTAGCTGAATAAGCACTCATACAACTACTAGTCAAGCTGTCAGCAAATAAATTACTGCAGCCTGAAGAGATGAAAAAATATGATATCTTAAACACATTATCTTAAAATGCTAATGTGTGTATCTAATTTTTGCTATTTTTTAACAAGAAATTATTTTTTTGTTAAAAAAAACTACAATAGTGTTATTGATAGTTTGAATCTTATTGATTTTATCTTTAGTATGTTATTTTGTATAGTAATAATTGTAATTAATGTTGGTATTTTTTATTTTCCGTTATCAATATAGGCCCATATGCAATGAGTTTGTTCAGATTTATATTTACTGAGTAAACAAGTAAACATCAAGCCATCATATAGCAACTTTGAATCACATTTTATTTTATTTTTTAACTGAATTCACTGAATGAATACTTACTTTAATACACTGAATATAATATTTTATTGTATGATATAATACTTTCTTGCATGACAGTATCTATGTTTACATCAACACAAAACTATACATTACACTCCCTACACTCCAATAAGCTTATACAATTACAACACTACAACACCTTCGCTTATACTCTTGATTTTTCATTTGAAGTGTAATTCAACACAAAAGAGTGCTTCAGCCTCACTTTGTTTAATCTTGGAACCCTTTACCTCCAGTTTGACGGTGCATGAATCTAAATTATGTAGTTTTTTTAATAAACACTGATCTTTACCATTCACCACAATGTTCATCTCAAGGATGTTAGTGCTGTCTCAAATGCTGTCAAACACAAACAGATTCATTCAACCCTATTCTTGATAGACATCCTTCATGTCGATGATTGACATGGATGATTCTGAGTCACTGAGGTGATTGACTGCAGTGATTTTATTGAACCTAAAGGACCTCAACAGTGACTCAACTCAGCGACCCAAAAGCCACCAGCCCTGACTTACTTGATTGAACCAGCACACATTGTGAAGATCAGAGGGTTGACATCTTGTAATGACAAACAGCAGCAGGTATTCCATGCAATGTTATTGATCGCAGCTTTTACATCTATCAAGACCTCTTCGAACTCACGTTATGCTGCACTGAATAATAATTTGGGACCCATTCGTCCAGTCTATTGTGTTCTCATCTGATATAGCCATATTGCATAACCAAATCTACAGCCACGTTGACAAACAATGTCAAATAGCTTTTTTATTTAAGAATGAGATATTTACACATTAGCTACATACTGTATATGGCTGAAATTAAATTTCCATATACTTGTTTCTTTTCTTTACATATACTATGAAAATAACACTAACATAATGTCCAGTCAAATCCATACACTGACATCAGTCTTTCTAGACATGTAATGTTTAATTATCGAAATCTTTTAGCTTTTTCTTAAACGATTTTAAAGGGTATGGAAGCAAATAGGATAAGAATGTAAGTACAAGACTGGAGTGTTACTTAACTGTGATTTCAGAGCATGTTGTAAATATCGTGGATCAATAACTGAGGGGATTGGTTGGGACCTCTTAAAGATATACCTCTGAACGAGGAACCATTTGTATGTTAGTAAGTGAAACAGGTTTCTTTCGTTTCTTCCAGTCTCAAGTCAAGTCTGTAAATAAAACCTTCGGGATCATTTCTAAACACATGCACCTTAGAATCGTTGCCTTTCAATTAGACTTGTTTTTTATCAACAGGCTTTTGAGTAAAAATGCCTTAATAAAATAATTGCGTAATAATACGATTAAGTATTTACATAAATCAGGTGACATGACAAATACGTTCGTTGTGCTTTTTTGACCTTCTGAACAGCGGATACAACGTTCGCATCTGTAACGCCAAAAGTCACCTTGGAAATGAACGAGTGTCGCGAGAGATGGCGCAAAAGGAACTGAATATCCTATGGCCGCAAGACAGCACACAACCACAGACTTCCAATGTAAACGAGTCACATGACTGTACTACGGCAATGACACCGCTTTATTTTGGTCCATCAGCCTCTTGAAGAATATCTATAATTAGAGCTCGTCTCGTGCGGCCGAATTTGACCGAGTGTGCACGAATATGGGGGGCTCGCGACAGGACCTTCCGAGCTTAGAAATAAAAAACAGACTGACAATGAAGACTGTGATTTTATAGGTGTCCCATGAAGGATGTTTTTTTTTCTCTCCAAATGTTCCCTCACTTTATGAGTAATATCGCCTACATTATGAAAGAGTATTAAATCTAATGTTTGCTTATAATATCATGACATAAAAACAACATTATGATGCATAACGTTTTTCTCAAGGTGAGACCCGGACACCTCGTGCTCTTACCTTCAGCTGTCGCCTTGCCATGTCGGTGGGCTGCTTGGCGTTGAAAGGATAGGCGACGCATCGCATCACAAAGACATAGAGTTGAAGCTTCTTCTTTCGTTCATCTTCTTCCCTCTGCAGTTTCTCTACGTCCTCCTTTTCTGGCTCGCTGACGGCCGACGGACTCGGGCTGGATGGTCGCGCGCTGGAGCCTCGACTGGCGGGTTGGAGCCTATCGGAGCTCTCGCTGGTCCTGCTGGGGGAGATGCGAATGGATCCGGACTGAGGAGCCATCACCTCTCGGCTTTCCTCCTCCACTATCCCGTCCGATTCCTCTTCGCTGGAGGATGGATCCAACATTTTTTGTTTTGTTTTTTTGTTTGCTCTCGCCTTAACCGTACAAGCGAATTAAACGCACGATGGGGGTATTTACGGCGTGGAAAGGTAGGCAATCAGTTTGTTGACGTAGTGATCGGCATTCAGATGGGCTGCTCGACTGTTGGTGAATTTTGAATATCCGGACACACTTCGGGTGCGGAAGCAGACACTGCAATCTCTTTCTCTTCACTAGCCCAGAGTAAAGATACTGCTGCTGCATACGTGTTCTGTGCTGTGCCTCCGTTCGCCAGTCATTGCGAGGGACTCGAGAGAAAAGGGGGTGGGAGGGGCGCGCGCGATGAAAAGAGCGAATGATGGCCACTTCCTGCTGAGGCTCGCGTGAGACGCAGGCGCTGTCCGCGGTGCTGGATGAGAGAGAGCGGGTCCTTTCGGTCGCAAAAATGGTGAGGATGGTTGACACCGAGAATGTGCTGTTATTTCATCTGACCTCTAGTGTTTCAATCGCAAACATTAGGACATTAGCCTACCATATTACATGTAGCCTTGCTTCATTTAACTGTCATTCCAGAAGTCATTATCAAATATCTGAACTATTTATATAGCCTAATTATTTGACTTTCCGTAAACCATAAAACATAGCCTATATATGATAAAACTTTACACTAAGGTCTCATTTGTTAACATTAGCTAATATATTAACTAACATGGACAATACATTTACAGTATTTATTAATCTTTGGTAAAATTAGTTAATAAAAGTATAATTCAAAGTGCATTAACTAATGTTAACAATTACAACTTTCGATTGAATAATGTATAACTAAATGTCTAAATTAACATTAATAATATTAAATGTTGTATATATGTATTGTTATTTCTTAGTTCATGTTAATTATGTTGTTAACTAATGTTATTAATTGAAACTTTATTGCAAAGTGTTACCATATAATTGAACTAGTATATAGACAACAAACCAACATGATTGTTTTATTTAATTAAACACCATAAAACCAAAATCACACATGCAGAGTAGAAGATTTAAAATATGTATTGTGTGATCTTGGTTTTATTTAAATGTGCTTCTTGCTAACTCTTTTTATTAACAAAATATGATTATTTGGTGTGGCTATATCAACCTGAATATTAGGTTACACCAATGAAAAGGATTTTAAACATCAGATAGAAAAGGCTCCAGAAGGATTTACTGATTATTGACCACACACACAACGAAGATGATAATATGATTGAAAAATTCTTCAAAAAATAATCCACAACACGGAACTCAGTAGAAAGCTGGCAAGGTAACAACCTGACGAGACCAGACAAACCTCAACTGAAACATTCTCACCCCCAAGCATTGGAGTAGTAGCTGCAGACTCGGAGACCTGCATCTACAGTCCCCCTGCACCCAGAGTCCCGCTTTCTCAGACCCCTCATTTTTCGAGACAGAGCCTCCTATCAAATTGTATCGGATTAAACATGCGAAGAACATGTGAAGAACTTAAGCCAAAATGTGAGTAGGCTATCTTCAATTTTATTTAGCGAATCGTAGTAGCCTACTCGGTTGATTTATTTTTTAGCTCATCGATACAACATAGTCCATTTAATATTTGTAAAGTTAGTTTGTAACAAGATTTGAGCCGTTAATGTATGTTTTTTCGCCCTCTTCCCCCCGAAAATATTTAGATAGCTAACGTTTATAATTGAAGAGTTCAGATGCAAAAGCCTCTAAGTGCCATTTGAAATTTTCTTCTAGAATGATCATTTTTATCAAGCTTGTATATTTAAGTTCAGTGATTTCACTTAAATGGCAATGATAATTACCTATTAATTGTTATTAAAGTGAAATTACTGGACTTAAATATACAAGTTTGATAAAAATCATCATTAAAGAAGAAAATTTCAAATGGCATTTAGAGGCTTTTGCATCTGAACTCTTCAATTTATTTAGCTTTGAAACATCATACGACATGTGCTATCGGTCCTATGTTGTAGGCTATTCCAGGGTACACCATACATTGATGGAGTTACCCCTGCCGAACCTAGCATTTTATGATTATGCAAAGCGACTTATAAATTAGTTTTTTTAATGCAATTGAAGAAGAAAAGTAAAGTCACGAACTGTACAGCAAGATGATGTTTAGGTGATCATTAAATAAAGTACAGAATTGTTTATTATCGTGTTTTGTCTATTCTGATTTGTTTTGCTTCGCATTCAAAATAGCCTATCAAAAAACAGATTTTGTAATGTTAGCATCATAATGTTAATTAGACCACTATAGGTTGAACTGAAAGAAAAATTGGAATTTGAATAAAAAATGTATTAAAAAAACATTGTAGCAATATAACATAGCCTACTGTTTTTCTGAAGATAGTTCAATCTGTAATTGTATCCCTTCCATCAGTAACATTTTTTTTTATTAATTTTTTTGCACATGCATTAAGCAGGGAACGCAAATATTTATTGGATAACTTATTTGGAGACCGTAATATTGCATCCTATTATTTTTAATTGCATTTGGATAATCGTGCGCTGTACTCTGTGTGCGGGTTTTATTCGATCTTTTGAACAGCAGGAGGCGTTGTGTTCGAAAAACGAGGGGTCTGAGAATGGGGGACTCTCGGTGGGGGACTGTAGACGCAGGCTCCGAGTCTGCAGCTTCATAATGTTGAAGCATTGGGAAGCATTTGACCATGCTTCAATATCTGACGCTTTAGGCGCCCTTTAGCGTCAGTTAGATGACGCCCTAGGATCGCGTGTACCCTACCCCCACCCCATACCTAAACCTAACCGCGTCCTCTAACTGACGCTTTCCTTTAGCGTCAGTTAAATGACGCTGTAGGATCGCGTCATGTAAGTGACGCTGAAAGGGCGCCTAAAACGTCAAATATTGAAGCATGGTCAAAGGTGACACCTTGGGGTGAGAATGTGTTGAAATACAAGGAACAAACTGAACTGAATGACTAATCAAAGGAAACACACAGGCAGGGAGAAAGCAAAGACAGAAAACCAAAACTGAGCGTAACTGTGACATTAAAGGGTTAGTTCACCCAAAAATGAAAATGATGTCATTATTGACTCACTCTCATGTTGTCCCAAGCCCGTAAGACCTCAGTTTAAGATATTTTTACAAAAATAGAAAACAACACGTGCAAATAGAAAAAAACACACCAGCAAATAATAAAAAAAACCATCTTGATCAGTCACCAGAGAACACACCAGTAGCATCTTACGTCATGAGCATCATTGAACGTGGCTTGACAACAGAACTGGAAAATAATACAATGCTGAATAAAGTCGTAGTTTTTGTTATTTTTGGACCAAAATGTTTTTTCGATGCTTCAAAACATTCTAACTAACCCACTGGTGTCACATGGACTACTTTGATGATGTCTTTATTTCCTTTTCGGACAAGGACAGTATACCGTCCACATTTTCAATGGAGGAAAAGAAAACTAAAATATCTTAAACTGTGAACTCTGAAGATGAACAAGGTCTTACGGGCTTGGAACGGCATGAGGGTGAGTCATTAATGACATAATTTTCATTTTTGGGTGAACTAACCCTTTAATATTTAATAGATATGACATCCTCCAGCAGTTTGTGCACAGTTGGCAAAAAATGGAAAACTTTGACTCCACAGAAAGACATATAGTCCTCACAAGCTATTTGCCATTTAGCTGAAGCTTTTCTATCCAATGTGAGTTCCCTTACTATGGCAACAGTCCCTTTGGAGCGACCTGAGGTTAAGTGTTTGACTCAAGGCCACATGGGTGGGAGGGGGTTTTGTTCGTAGTTTTCTTCCTGAAAGTAGCAAGTCCTAAGGTCGTTTTGGGGGTATTTCTGAAGGAGCAGCAAAGGAGCAGACTGCTTAGTCCTAACAAAACCACAACATAAGGTGTTTCCAATTGTAGCCAGAGAGACAAAATCAATAATCAGCAGACACAAAGAAAGAAAATCGGATAAATTACAGTGGCCGCTGGTAAAAGGACAGTCAGATTTATGACGAGCCCCTCCCTTATGCGAGGCCTGCTCTTTCTCAACTATTTGACATGTCGAATAACATTCACGGTAAAAGATTTAGGATCTGTTGTCTTATAAAACAAATACATATTTCAGTTATTTTGACAGCATATCATTTTTTAACATTATTGGCTTGCATTCTCGCGACCAGTGATAGTCGCGTGCCTATGATAAATTTCATCTTCACACTACAGAATTAGCCCCTGACTATATATCCCAAGGCTTATGTGAATTTTTCTGATGGATAAGAGAAATGCACTCCAGTCATGTTGAATGCATTTTAAAGGTCCCGTGACATGAGGTTATTTTAATATTTTATAATATTTCCTGGGTTGCGCTTATAATATTAGTATGTTTTTTAGATCAAAAATAGTCATCATTTAGAAATAAAAGGTAGTGGTGCACGATATATCGGCCACCGATATAATATTGTCGATATGGTAAATTTTACACATCGGTATCGTTCCGATGTCAAAATAGTGCCGTTGTGAACAGGCTGATTATATTTGACGATCGAGCCACCAAGCAACAATTTCTGATGTGTAGCCTAATTGTTCAGTGACTAAAATATCAACTTCACATCGTTTGTTTTTGTATATGAAAATAATCTTATTTAAATTGTGAACAAATTATATACAGAAAGCTATCAAAGACACTGCACAAGGAAATAGCTACATTCCCGCGTTTTTTTTTTTTTTTTTTCTATTTGCAAGTGTTTTTTTTTTCTATTTGCATGTGTTTGCTTTAGGTGCAGCACGTTGAGCTCTCTTGGCCACCGTAGGATTGGTCCAAGTTGAGGAAACAGTCGTCGATGAAATGTTTGGACTTTGGACCAAACAAAACTTTGGGAAGTTGTGTCGTCACATTTCCAGAGAAGATAAAATTACCCCATTGTTACTTCAGACTCGGATAAAGGAGCTAAAAAAATACTTTTGAGTTCATTTTTACATCCGAACACTGATCAACTGCCATGCTTCGCTCGTTTGCAAGCCCTGATATCTGTTGTTTGTCTCGAGGAAAAACTCATTTGTACTTCCAAGCTCATTTTCTCATGGGCAAGCCAAATTCTGTGAATGGGCAAAGCAGAGAAAGAGGAGGTTACCTTTCCTACGTGGTATGACGTCATACAGGGGAGATTCAAGATCAGCCCATCTGAGTTTTAATTTTCTCAAAGGCAGAGAAAGATAGCTAAAGGTCGTTTACACCGATTTAAATTTCTTGCCACTGGGGGACCATCTACAGGCAAGGGGCCTCATATTACTGATAAAAAAAAAAAACCTTCATGTCATGGGACCTTTAATCATTCATTAGGATTATTCACCCACTATGAAATCATAATTAAAGCTATATACTGCGTTGTATAATAATTATAGAGAGACTTCTGAAAATGGAGGAAGAGAGAGGGGAAAGAATATACTT